GACCCCATTTGGGATTTTCTTAGCAAAGATATTGGAGTGATTTGCCATTTCTTCAGCTCGTTTTACAGATGAGGAAACTGAGGTAAACAGGGTTAAGTGACTTGTGTAGGGTCACACAACTAGTAAGAGTCTTGAGGCCAGATTTGAACTCATGGAGGTGAGTCCTCCAGCTGCTCTGCCTCAGATTACCCATTTATAAATCGGAGTAATAATAGCACCTATCTCCCAGGATTGTTGTGAAGATAATAGGAGATTATATCTGTAACTGTGTTTGGCAAACCTTAAAGCACAATATAAATGATAGCTAGTTATGTGACACAAAAGTTACTACCGAGTTAACACTTAATCAATGTCCATCAACACCTAATCACATCTGTTAATTGATATAGTCCAGGGATGGGGCCACAGTTGAAAACTTAGAGGGCTGCAGGTTCCCCCACCCCTGACTATCTGAGTCTTCTGTGATCACATTAATTGAGATGAGGGTGGGGATGAAAAACTTCTCCCTCTTTCAATTAAAAAATAATTTATTATTTACTTAACTTATTTTTTTATTCACTTAACTTTAATAATAAAACTAAATAATAAAACTTAATAAATATGAATTTACAAATTCTTATATTTAAATCATTTCGGGCATGCAAAATGTCCATAATAGCGAGTTAGTTGTTTCCCAATATATTTCCTTTGCTTCTCTGTTCATTCATTTCTGTCTTTGTTATACATTTTTCTACTTATCTAGCAGTGACGAGAGATCATACTGCTTTTGTCTCTACGGCACCGTTATTTTATAATGGCAGCTAGGTGGCAAAGCACCAGACTTAGAGTCAAGAAGACCTGAGTTCAAATCCTCCATACAGTAGCTTTTGCTTCTAGGCAAGTCACAACCTTTCTGGCCTTCAGTTTCCTCATCTGTAAAATGCGGATAATAATAACATCTATCTCACAGGATTGTTGTGAGGATCAAATGAAATAGACAACATTTAAAGTGTTTTGCAAACCTTAAAACACTAAATGCTGGCTAATAATGGTAAACTGGAGTTAAAGAATCTCAGATTTAGAAACAGGTGTTGTGAGGCTCAAATGAAATACAGATATAAAGCAAATAGAAATGCCAGTTATTGTCATCATCATCATCATCATCAATCTCCAACCACCAGGTCTCCAGTCTGGTGATGACTTCATTTATTTTTTGTTACATTTTAAGTTCCAAACTGTCTCTCTCCCTCCCTCCCTCCCTCCCTCCCTACTTGGCCATCATTTGACAGATATGGAGAGAGAGAGAGAGAGAGAGAGAGAGAGAGAGAGAGAGAGGGAGAGAGAAAGAGAGAGAGAGTCCTTTGTAGTTGATTTGAGTATTTATAAAATTCAGAATAACTTAGTTATTCACAGTTGTTCTTTGAACAATATTGCTGTTACTGAATACAATGTTCTTTTGCTTTTGTTTTTTGAACAATATTGCTATTACTGTATACGATGTTCTCTTGGTTCTGCTCATTTCACTCTTCATTATTTCATGCAAGTTTTCCCATGTTTTTCTGTAATCAACCAGCTCATCATTTCTTAGAGCACAGCAGGATTCCATCACAATCACATACCACAATTTGCTCAGCCATTCCGCAGTTGATGGGCATCCTGCTATACATATTTTGGAACATATAGGTTCTTTTGCTTCTTCCTTGATCACCTTGGGGAAAAGACCTAATAGAGGTATTGCTAGGTCATAGGGTATAGGCAGGTTAATAACTCTTTGGGTGTAGTTCCAGATTGCTTTCCAAAATGTTTGGATCATTTCACAATTCGATCAACAATGTCCCAATTTTTCCACATCCCCTCCAACAGTTGTCATTTTCCCCTTCTATCATTTTAGCAAATCTGATAGGTGTGAGATAGTATCTTAAAGTTGTTTTAATTTGCATTCCTTTAATCAATAATGATTTGGAGCATTTTTTTTTTCATATTACTATGTAGAGTTTTTATTTCTTCATTGGAAAACTGCCTGTTCATATTCTTTGCCCATTTATCAATTGATGAATGATTCATATTGTTAGACAAAGTTCTCTATATATTTGAGATATGAGACCTTTATCTGAGAAACCATCTATAAAAATTTTTCCCCCAATTTTCTAAGTCTTGGTCATTTTGCCAGCAAATGTATACTGGAAGAGATTTGGACGGTGCAAAGCTAATGTGAAATGTAAAATGCCTAATCAGCAGTCCGACAAACTGCTTTATATTCTGATAAGATTTAAGAATCAGCCTTCTAGCAGGTTTTAACAGTAGATACAATATGAAGTTACTGAATCCTGTTTTGTTAATGTGCTGCTTGTGAATCTTTTATTTTGGACATTTGGGAAGGAATAAATCTGGGGTGGGGAGGAATAAATTAACTGTCCCATACCTGATTCAAATTGTACATCAAGCATCCTTTTTATTTTCCCCATTTTGGGAGGTCCCTAGATGGAATCTATAAATAACATCCCTAGGAGGGCCAGGATGAGGGGCTTTTAACAAACAAACAAACAAACAAACAAACAAATATGAGAAGAAGAAGCTTAACCTAAGACTGAATCTAGTCCAAACCATATGCTTGAGTACAGAATAGGGAGTGGGCACAGTAACCCCAGCCCCTGTAGTGAGCCAATACATGTTCTCTAAAATTTGACTGGTTTCCAATTTATCCTATATATAACTTTTTTGTACATAGTTATTTGGATATTGTCCGTCCCCCCCCCCATTAGACTGTGAACTCCTTGAGGGCAGGGACTGTTGTTTTTTTTTAACCTTTCTTTGTATCCTCAGCACTTAGCAGAGTGCCTGGCTCCATAGTGGTATCTAAATAAATGTTTACTGACTGACAACTAGCTTTTTCCTGGACCTTGTCCTATCAGCTTCCTCTCTGCTCTCTGAATTTCCACAAGTCATTCCCTGTGGCTGGAACTCAACTTTATCTCTGCATATCAAAATCTTTTTTATTTCTCCAAAGCTCATTTCAGGTACCTCTTCCTTCTCTAAAGTCTTCCCTCGTTCCTCCAACTGAAAATATTCTCTCCTTTTTCAATTTTTCCTTTACTACTTTGTCTAGATTTCTTCTTTCTCTTAATCCCATTCTATCTTGCATTATACTTACTCTATATCTATTATGTCCACCCTCTCCCCTCACAAGATTGGAAGAGTAACTAAAGAGGTTTAATTTTGCATTTCCATTAACTAATAGGTGCTTCTAAAAATGTTTGATGAATTTGAATGTGTATTTATAGATTCAACCAAGTCACTGAGGATAGCAGTCTCACCCCACTCCAATCCATCCTCCATTTAGCTGTGAAAGTGATTTTTCTAAAGCACAGGTCTGATAATGGCTCCTTATCACCTCTATGATGAAATATAACATCCTTTATTTGGCATTTGAAGCCTTTTACAACCTGGCTTCCTCCTACCTTTCCAATCTGCTTAAACAATACTTCTCTCACTCTGCTGACCAGCAACATTGGTTTGTGTTTGCTGTATTTCTCATGAGAAACATCACTCCATCTCCTGCTCTTTGACTTTGCACTGGTGGTCTCCCATGCCTGAAATGTTCCTTTTACTTACCCTGGTCTTTTTCAAGTCTCAGCTCAATCCCACCTTTTGCAGGAGCCCTTCCTTCTTTTCCCTCCTCCATCTACTTCTAGTGTCTTCCCTCTGAGATTATCTCCAATTTACATAGTACATATCTTGTATGTACATAGGCATTTACATGTTGTCTCCTCCATTAGAATGTGAGCTTCCTGAGGGCAGCACTTAGAATAGTGCTTGATATGTTATAACTGCTTAATAAATTCTTATTGATCAATGGACTGACTTTAAAATCTGCAAATTGTTTTGATGGGGTGCTTGGACCCCAGCCCTAAGATCTCTAGAAGCCTCTCAATTTCTCAGTGAGACCCTGCCTGTGAGAAAATTTTCTCTTGTTACAGAACATTCTCTTATCAGAACAGAGGGGTGCCTGGCAGGATTTTTGTGCCTGGTTGGCCCAAGGACTCTTCCTCCCACCAGATCCCCAAGGTCCATGCCTCTGACAACTCCCTCAATGTCTGGTATACTCCCTACACTTTCCCATCCGTAGCTCCCATAGTCACTTGGACCCTTAGATTACCTAATTAGTATCCCAGGCATTCCTTTCCTGTTCCCCTTTTCCATATAAACTCTAGCACCATCCTCAGTCTCTTGAAAGTTCCCTAAAGGGACTTTGTCCCCTTCTATTGGCATTATAATAAACTGTCTCTTGACTGAGAGATGGTGTGAGTGTGTGAATTCATTCCAGGTGACTCTGTCTTGGCATTCTTAGGGTCCCAGAACTCCTAAGCACCCCTTACCTCTACCCCATGCCTCTTCAGTTTTATATGCATTGTTTCCTATAGGAGTATCCCAACAACCCTCTTTGATGAGGATAAGTAAGGGGTCACTATGCCCAATTTACAGATGAGGAAAGTGAGACATTGATGAAATAATATTAAGAGTCAACATTTATAAGATGCCTCATATGTACCAGGCACTTTACAAATATTATCTCAGTTGATCTTCACAACAACCCTGGGAGGTAGATATTATTATCATCCCTGTTTTATATATGAAACTAAGGCAAATGGAGGTTAAGTGACTTGCCATGGGTCACACAGCTAGTAAGTGTCTGAGGCTAAATTTGAACTCAGGTCTTCCTGACTCCAAAGCGCAATTTGCATTTGAACCCAGGCCTCCTGAGGCTCTGCTAGATTGTGCTTTCCTACAGAGGAAGAGGGCTGAATCAGCAATCCATGCACAACTCCTAAGCCTCCCCCTGGGCAAAAGGCACCAAAGGGGACTGACTTGGGTGAGGGTAAGGGAGGGAAACAACGAGCCTGGAGTAAAGACAGTCTCCTTCCCCATCCGCTAGGGGTCGTGTCACTCGCCACTCGCCACTCGCCCCTCCCCATTGGCCGCTCCCTCTATTCTCGCGAGAGGGAAGCGGGAGCGAAGCCAGGTTCGCCTAAAATGGCGGTTCTGGAGGAGGATTTTACGCTGGGTGGTCTCGTGCCGGGCGCCGGCCTCGATGGCCTGCTGGGTGTCGAGCATGGACACAAGGCCGACCTGTTCCTGGTCACTGACCGCGGCAGGACCGTCATCCTCTACAAGGTGAGCGAAGCACGTCGCGGGGGACGGGACGGGGCAGAGCGGAGCGGAGCGGCAGCGAGGCCGGCCGGACCCTCGGGCTTCCCGCGCCTCGAGGGGGGCCTCCGGGGAGGCAGTGGAGAGGAGGCTCGTGGGCCCGGCGGCCCGGCTGCGAGCCCTGCCCGTCCCCCTGGCCGCGCCGGGCGCCCCTAGGTGGCGGCGGGGGCTCCACGCGGGCTCCACGCTCCCGTCACCCTCCCTGTGGCTCCCCTTCTCTGCGGCCTCCCCCCACCCCGGGTTTGCAGTGGCTGAGACCGTGGTCCGGCCAGAGCACCCCATAATCAATAAACAAGAGCCGATTAAGCGATTACAATGTGCCAGGCACTGTGCTAGGTCAACAAGAATCTATCAAAGCACTTAACTGTGCCAGGCACCGTGTTATGGCCACAAGAATCTATTAAAGCACTTAGTGTGTGCCAGGCACTCTGCTATGTCCACAAGAATCTATTAAAGTGCTTACTGTGTGCCAGGCACTGTGTTATGTCCACAAGAATCTATTAATGTGCTTACTGCGTGCCAGGCACCGTGTTATGCCCACAAGAATCTATTAAAGCGCTTACTGTGTGCCAGGCACTGTGCTATGTCCACAAGAATCTATTAAAGCACTTAGTGTGTGCCAGGCACTGTGCTATGTCCACAAGAATGTATTAAAGTGCTTACTGTGTGCCAGGCAGTATGTCATGTCCACAAGAATGTATTAAAGTGCTTACTGTGTGCCAGTCACTGTGCTATGTCCACAAGGCTCTATTAAAGTGTTTGCTGTGTGCCAGGTACTGTGCTAAGTCTACAAGAAACTATTAAAACACTTATTATGGGCTGAGAACTTTTCAAAGCACTGAGGATACTAAAGGTTTGGCTGTATTGCTCTTTCCTCATAACCTCTGTCCAGGAAGAAACTGTCTCCAAGAAAGAGTCAGTGCTCTCTGCCAACAGCCAGGTTGGACCAAAATTCTCCTCCATTTACTGTTAAACTCCTTTGATCCTGATCATTCCCCTTAATTAAATGAGATAATATTTGTAAATTGATTATCACAGTGCCTGGCCTATAGAAAGTATTTAATAAATGCTTATTCCTTTCCTTCCTTCCCTCCCAGTGAATGAGCCACCCTGCTTCCTAGTCCCCTCCCCCTCTGTCCCCTTTAATGCTAGTCCTTTCTCTTTGAAATTCTCTCCAGTTTATTGTGTGTATATCTTGTTTGTACATAGTTGTTTGCATGTTGCCTTCCCATTAGATTGTGAGTTCCCCTGTGGCAGGGACTGTTTGCTTTTCATTGTAATTCTCCTTCCCCCCCTTCCCCCATTAGTATAGTGCTTGGTACCTAGTACGTACTTTAATAAGTGACCTCATTCAGAGTGTGGAATTTGATATATGTTTTCAGATGTGACCAGAAAGTGGGTTTTGCTTTAACTATGCTGAGCAAACTGCTCTTCTTGTAGGATGAAAGGATTCAAAGTCAAATGATGCTTTTTGTATTATTAGTGCTTGGATTAGAATTTTCAGTCCAGCCCCAAGCCCTTAGAACAGAAAAATGGAAGAAAAATCAGGCAGTCAACAAGCATTTATTAAATTCTAAGTGCTAAGTATGTATAGGGCTACAAAGATTGGCAAAAACAGCCTCTGCCCTCAAAGAACTCACATTCTCACAGGAAGACGAAATGGAAGATGATTTCAGAGAAGAGGCATTAGCACTTGCAGGAGGGGGTTAGGGAGGAAGACTAGGAAAAACCCCTTCCAGAAGGTAGGATTTGAGCTGAGTTTTGAAGGAAGCCAGGAGGTTGAGGTGAGGCAGGAAAGTGATAGAGGTATGGGAGAAAGTCAGTGAAAAGAAATGGAGTCAGGAGATGGAGTGTCTTTATTTGAGGGAATATCAAATAGTCCAATGTCCCTGAATTATACAGTATGTGAAGGGGAGTAGGAAGACAAGTAAGGTGGGAGGTGGCCAGGTGGTGAAAGGCTTTAAAAGCCAAACAGAAGATTTTATGTGTGATCCTGCAGATGATAGGGAGCCACTGTGTTTTTTGCCTGGGTGACATGGTCAGACCAGTGCATTAGGAAAATTGCTTTGACAGCTGAGTGGAGGATGAACTGTATGTGGAGAGACTTGAGGCAAGGAAACCAACATTTCAGTAGTGCAGTCAGGAGGTGGGGAGGCCTGTGCTAAAGCTATGTGAATGGAAATAAGGAGGCATACATGAGAGTTGTTATGGGGGTGGAAACTTGACAACAGATTGGATATGTGAGGTGAGTTCAGATGAGAAGATGAGGATAACACCAAGGTTGAGATCCGGGCTGAATGGGAGGATGGTGGTGCCCTCCACCATCTGTAATAGAGAAACTGGGAAGAAGGGAGACTTGGGGGGCAAAGGCAGTGAGTTCTGTTTTAGACATGTTGAGTATGGTATATCTATGGGAGATCTAGTTTAAGATGTCTAATAGGCAGTTGGTGATGCTAGGGCTGGATAAATAGATTTGAGAATCATTTACATAGAAATAATAATTTAACCCATAGGAACTGATGAGATTATTAAATGAGGTAGTATAGGAGAAAAAAGAGAAGAGGTCCCAGGATAGAGCTTTGTTTGGGAGAATACCCACAGTTAGTGCGCATGCATGACCTCAAGGAAGATCCAACAAAGGAGGCTAAGAAGGAGCAGTCAGCCAAGTTGGAGGAGAAACAGGAAACAGTAATGTCATGAAAACCTAGAGAACAGAGAATATACAAGGGAAGAAGGGGATCAACAGTTTTCCAAAACTGCAGAGAAGTCAAGAAGGATGAGGACTGAGAAAAGGGCTTGGCGATTAAGAGATCATTGGTAACTTTGGAGAGAGCAATTTCAGGTGAACAGTGAAGTTGGAAGCCACTGAGAAGAGGGGAGCTGGAGGCACTGATTGTAGATGACTTTCTTAAGGAGTTTAGCCCAGAAAGGAGGCATAGGACAGTAGCTATTACCAAGTGAGTTATTTTAAGAATGGGAGAGGCATAGAGATGTTTGTAGGCAGCAGGGAAGCATCCAGTAGATAGGGAAAAGTTGAAGAATTATGAGGAGTAGGGATGACAGGAAGAGCAGTTTACTGGGAGAAGATGGGATGGGATGGGAAAAATGACACGTGTACAAAAACGTAATAGGGATTATAAACAAAGTTGATGTCCATCAGTTGGGGGGGATGACTGAACAAATTATAGTATATTAATGTAATAGATTATTATTACGCAATGAGAAATTATTAATTCAAAGAAAACTGGGAAGACTTGGGTGAACAGCTACAGAGTGAAGTGAGCCAAATCAGGACTGTTTTATGACCACAACACCGTAAAGGAAAACAACTTAGAGAGAATTGAGAACTCTGATTGATGCAGCAACCAATCACAACTCCAGAGACCGATGACAAAGCATGCTTCCCATCTTGGTAGAGAGGTAATCAAATTGTCAGTACAGAAAGAGACATTTTCAGATGCAACGGATGCTACATACCTTTTTTTTGTTTGTCACTATTTACTTGTTATAAGATTGGGTTTTTATGGAAGGGGAGAAAAGTTAGAGTGATTTAAAAAAAAAGAAAGGAGGAAAAACATCAATAAAACATTTTTTAAATACAAAAGCAAGAAAAGAGTTCAGAAAAGTCCATAGACAGAAAGTCATCATGGGTTCACATCAAATATATATTAAAGCATGTTTTTATATAATAGACTCATGGTTTTATATATAATCCCCCTTTTATAGCCTGTTTATAAAGGGAAATGGAGAGCCTGAGCTGGAATCTGGAGACCTAAAAGGATTCTGTTAAGCATGTTGAACATATCCAACTTTAAATGATTCCATCTTACATGATTTTATACAGATTTAGAAGACCTGTAGGAAAAAATAACTTTTGCCGAGAAAATTGAACATATGTTTTCCAGTATCTGACTTCTTGAAAAGTGTAATTTTTATTTGTTTCCTTTATGTTTACTTGTTATGCCACCTGAAAAAGTTAGTGCAGATTCTCATCCTTACCTTCTATGGCCACAAAATCTGGCATCCTAATTAAAAAAGAAAAGGATAGGTCTATCCCTGAAGTATTTACCATTGCAACCTCTATTTACCCTAGGTGTTTTTGTTCGTGTGTGTGTGTGTGTGTTTTAAAACATTGCTTCACTTCCCACTGATTCTTCTCCCTATCATTTGGCCATCTCTGAAAATGTATGCCTCATTCTGGAGGTGGGAGACATGCTTCATAGGCAGTCCTCTGAGATCAGACAAACATTCAGAAGTCTTGTTTATGTTTTTTTCTTTGATGTTATTGTAGTTATTTGGGTATTTTGCTTGCTTTGCTGAATCATTTCATACAAATCTTCCCAAATTTCTCCCTATTACATTCCTATGCCACAGTTGTTTAGACATTCTCTTAGTTGATGGAAACTCACTTTCGTTTCATTTCTTCACTACCTCAAAAATTTCTTCGATAAATATTTTTATCTATATGAGACCGTTTCCTCTGTGTTTGACCTCTATCATAGTATGGTTAGTAGTGGTTTTGTCCAGAGGTTTAGAAACTTTTGGGGGATTTGGAAGGCAGAATGAATTCTGCTGTTGAAGGGAATAAGCATTTATATAGCACCTACAGTGTGCCAGGCGCTGGGCTAAGCACTTCACAATTTTGAGCTCATTTGATCCTAACTACATCTGTGTGAGGTAGGTGCTGTTATTATTTCCATTTTACAGTTGAGAAAACTGAGGCAGACAAAGGTGAAGTGACTTGACCAGGGTCACACAGTTAGTAAGTAAGTATCTGAGGCCACTTTTGAACTCAGGTCTTCCTGACTCTGTATACTGTGCTACCAGTTGCCTCTATGTAAGTACTATTTTGGATAGAAAAATAAGTTGTATCACAGTATTCTTTAAACCTTGTCTAGCATGGATCAGACTGAAAACTTATTCTTTCATTACTGTGGCTAGTTACTGCTTTATTTTGTTGATTATAAATATCCTTGCTTTGGAATTTTTTAATCTAATGGTATTAAGCATTGTGTGTTTGTTTTTATTTAATTAGGTTTCAGATCAGAAACCATTGGGTTGCTGGTCAGTGAAGCAAGGTCAGACTATAACATGTCCAGCCGTGTCCAACTTTCAAACTGGCGAGTATGTTGTTGTCCATGATGATAAGGTGGGATTTTTTCCGTTGATTTGTGTTAGTGGATCTTTCATAAGTAGCTTACTACTTTAATTCAACAACTTCGGTTATAGCTAAAGTGCCTCAAAGAAATTTTAAGAAGATTCTTTTAACATTGCCTCAGATTCTTAAATTTTAATGTACTTATTGCTGACAACATGTTACCTAAATAAAATAACATTTTAACTGTTCAGATATGTGCTAATTCATATATTTATGCTGTAGTTTTCTAGTGAATGGTATTAAGTTATAGTTCTTTTTTCTATTTTAGGTTTTGAGAATATGGAAAAATGAAGATGTGAATTTAGATAAAGTGTTCAAAGCAACAGTAAGTTGAAGGATTAATAGCATAGATATAATTGGGCTATTTGGAAAATAGCTCTATTGTTTGTTTATACTTTAACCTGTTAAAACTTTAAACTCCTCTAAGATTTTTGGGACAGTTGTATATGAGTTAACAACAGGACTGTCCTACTTCAAGAGAAACCAAAAATACAAATAGATTCAAGAAAAGTTTTTTTTAAAATGTAGATTTTGGGATGAAGCAAAGAGGAACTTAGACATATTGATTTCCTATGTGAGCAACTTGTGGAATAGAAGTTCTGCACTGATACATCTCAGCAACTTCTCTGTAACTTAAAGTTGCCTGGGGCACTTGAGAAGTTGAATGAGTTACTCACTGTGTTTCAGAGGCAAGACTTGAGTCCTGGTCTTCTGATTCGAAGGCCAGCTCTCTGGCCGCTATGCCACTCTGCCTCTCAAATATGTGGATCCAGGATGTGTTATTTAGGTAAAGGTAGAAAAGTCTCATAATACTGTACTGGGTAGGCCATTGGTTTGGTTCATCTAGACATTTCTTTAACTTTTAGATTAAGAGGGACTATGTGATATAATGGAAAGATTAGGGGATGAGAAGTCAGGAGCCTTGCCATTGAGTCACTCGGGCAAATCACTGAACTTCTCTTCTCTTTATTCAGCTATAAAATGAAAGGGTTGGGTTACATGAGCTCTGAGGCTCTTTTTTCCTTTAAAAATGTGCATGGTTTGAAATATTAATGGTTGAATTTCGATACTTAAATAAATTATGTGAATTAACTTTCTTTGCATAGATTTTCTGCTGAAATAAACATTTATTTTTGAGTAAGTGAACATAGTTACTATTTCACATTTGCTATAAACTCTGATTCTGTTACTACTGTTGGGTTGACTTTTTCCTCACCAGAGTAAAGTTCTAGACCCAACTTTTTGCTAGTAATTAGCAATATAACCTTAGGCAAGTTATAAAACTTCATTTGACTTTGATTGTTTAGCCATAAAATGAAGGAATATGGTTAGAAGATGGTTTAAGATGAATGAAACAGAACTGTAACCAAATATGGGATTCTTTGTGTTCTTTTTTGCAATTGTGGGTGTCTTTTTGTTTTTTTAAAGCAATTCCTTATAAAGAAATTTGACTTGTTTAATTCCTGCTGGTTATGGGGTTGTAACTATAACGCCACAAATTTGTGACTCCATGATAGTTGAAGTGTAGTCATAAGCTGACAAAACTAATTAGTGATCATACTTAAATTTCAGGAAGCCATATTGGTTAGTTTTGAAATAGTTTTGTATTCTCCACTGTAAACTCATTTAGAATGAAATTAAAATACATTGTTTCTCCTGCAGCTGTCTGCTGATGTATACAAGATACATTCAATACAAAATACTGAACCACTTGTGTTGTTCAGAAAAGGTGCTGTTCGAAGGCTAGATGCTTTGCTTGCAGAACCCCAACAAAAGATTGAAGCTGTAATTTCAGATGAAGAAGTTATTAAGTAAGTTGCTGCACATCCAAACTGCTTTTAACCAAATCAGATACAATTCAATAACCGTTCTGAAAGGCATCTTTTTTCCCATATTAAAGTCTCATTTCTCTCAGTATATTGGCCATCATTTTGAATCTTTAGTTTTGTTGCCTTTAACACCTCCATTTCCTCACACCTGCAGCCATACAGAATAGGTTCTTTGGTAGAGGTTTGATAACCTAGCATTATACACCTTATCCAAACATAAGTTTCCTAGGACTGTTTACCTCAAATGCAGAACTCTTACGTATTTGCAGAGTTCTTCAGAGGAATTCTCACCCACATCATCTGGTGACTGCTCATAAATGAAACTTGGTGACACTAGAGCATTTTGTAAGTCTTGACCTGAGCTAGGAAAGTTACCAGGGGTCGGCATCTGGGGGAGTAGCTTCAAAGTGGTCTTGATTCCTTGTAGTGTGATTCTAAGGCCTCTGCTATGAAGCAGTGGAGAACAGGTGGGAAAGGCAAGTCTGTCTTGTACAAATTTGTGGAATGAGTGCAGCTTCCTTTTATGACTTGAGATTTAACAACGCAGTTCAGTCATTGACCACCTTTTTCTGTTTCCTCACTCAGATTTTCAATCAATGCCAGTGTTACAAAGTATTACTACAAAATGGTTTGACTTCAGAGCTTGTAACAGATTCTCATGCATATTCTTAATGGTAGCATATTTTTATTTTAGGCTTATAAACAGGTTCTGGAGGTAATTCCATAGGATTACAAACTATTTTGAGAAGTGGCAAATAGATATTTAGAGACACAGACGGATGGGTTCTGGTATATTAGAGATACATATACCCCAGAACTTCATCCAAGCTACTATTGTCCTTCAAAGTGTATGTATGTATAGAAATGCATATATGTACATAAATATATATTATACATAAATAATACTTATAAAAATAGTCTATGATATATACTAAACATATATATGTATATATAAATACTTCAGAATATATGCATGTATATAAATATAACTGTCTCTATTTCAGTCATACCTCAGATTTTACTCACATCTTATACAGAAGGTAGTATAATGGAGAAAGGATTAGATTGTGAATCGGAGGACTTGAGTGTAAATCTCACCTCTGTCACTACCTGTATGACCTGGAGCAAGCTATTTAACTTCTGTCCTCTGTTTCTTCATCAGTAAAATGAGGAAATTGGACTATATGGCCTTTAAGGTTCCTTCCAGCATAATTGCCAAGGCATAAACAGATGACTGCCTATATTCTTCATTCTGCATGTATGAACCCCAGATACTATAAGGGAACAGATTGCTATCGCTTTCAAGATATAAATAGGTAGTGTTATCTAGGTTGTGGATGGAATAAGACAGAAAAGAGGCCCCAGTCAGAGGACTGAGAGGAGCCTTCATTGTATATAATTGTTGTAAATTGAAAGTTGTAGTTTAAAGTAAATACAAAATATTCTTGTTACATGGGTAATATAGGCAGTAATGACTCCTTAAGCTAATTTTGTTGGTGCTGATTTCAGGGTTTTTACCATTAAAAAAGAGAAATAGCTTAGAAATCAGACATCCTGGATTCTAATCTATGATATTGTGCTAACTAATGTCACTGGGCAAGTCATAAGATAGTAGATTTAGAGTTTGAAGGGATCTTTGAGGCAATCTAGCCTAGCCTAGCCTCCCCATTTTACAAGTGAGGAAACTGAACTAGAAAGATTAAGTGAATTCACTTAACTCAAACTTCAGCTTAAACTGCTCATCATCACACAGATGTTGTGACAAAGGCAGAATTTGAGCCTAGCTCCTTTAACTCCAAAGCCAGTACTTGTTCCACTAGAAAGGTATTTAGACTCTCTTGTCTTATTTTTCTGTGACACTCATAAAAGGATTAAGCTAAATAGAGGTCTTTTTCATTTCCAGTTCTTTAAATTCTGTGATACAACGTTGAAATAAAAGTTTACATGTGTATTAATATGCATTTTAACATTTTTAGCTTTATACCAGTATCTAGTTTTTCTTAAACATTTATCTTTTAATTTACTGTGCTTTAATGAATGCATTTATTTCTTTAAAATTGTCATTTTATTTTCAGATGGACAAAACTTTTCTTGGATTCTAATCAGCCTGTTTTAATATTTGTTACAGAGAAGGTAAGTGTGTCCTGTTTTGTCAAATGCAGAGGAACTTATAGAGAGAGTTAGCTTGATAATAGAAGAAAGTATTTTGAAGATGGAATCAGAAGATAGTTGTATTTGATTCTTTGAATTAACATATAGTTTGTATGAACTACTTATAGTTTAAAATACAGTTTTAAATGCAGTTTGTTAAACTTTTGATATTTCTATAAATGAAACAATATTATCTTTCTCTTGTAGCATGGAAATTACTTTGTATATGTGCAGATGTTTAACCCACATAATTTATGCAAATATACCCTTTTACGTGGAGAAGAAGAACCAGTTACACTGAGTTTTGCTGCATCTGTGAATGAAAGATTAGTCACTTTGCTATGTTTGAGTAAGTTATTTTCTAAACTTTTAAGCTAAGAACTTTTTTCTTTTTAAAAAATGTATACCTTTTGTTGTTACTTTACATTCTCTTCTTAAAATATCCTTTCTTTCTTAATAACAAAGATTCAAAAAGAAAGAGAAAGTAATCAACAAATTTACCATTATATATTAGGAGCTAGGTATAGAAAAACAAAAACTGTCTTACTCCTCTTCTCCCTTTGCCCTTTGCCCCTTCAGGGAGCTTACATGCTATAGGAGAAGCAACATGGAGAAAAACTGCAGTTCAGCAAAACTTAATAACCATATCTAACAGTATACACAACATTCTATACCTTCTATCTTCCTTAGGTTTTCAGAAGCTATGCCGGTAGGGTACAAGTAACAGTATTAGATCATGCTACAATGGAAAGGTTTTAGGTGTGGAACAATTGGGCTGAAAAGTGAGTACACTGTATTTCTGTCATCTGAGGGACCAACTATCAGTCTAAGTAAGCTTGTTACTAGAACGCTGGCCCCAGCAACTCAGTGAAATTTTGTAAGACATAGAGCAGTTGTCATCAGTGTTGGTGGAAAGGGTACCTACTAATGAAATTATCGGTATTTCAAAGTGTTGTAAGAAGTACAGTTAGAGTGTCAGTATAGGATAAATTTATGACCTAATGGAATTTGTGTATGTTGTTTGTTGTTCAGTCATATCCAACTCTTTGTGACCCCATTTGAGATTTTCTTGGCAAAGATATTGTAGTGGTTTGCCATTTCCTTCTTCAGCTCATTTTACAGATAAGGAAACTGAGACAAACAGGGTCAAGTGACCACTCGGAGTTACACAGCTAAGTAAGTATCTGAGGTCACTTGAACTCAGGAATATGAGTCTTTCTGACTTAAGGCCTAGCACTCTATCCACTGTGCCACCTAACTGCCCAATATATATTACACCTTTTATTATAAGGGTATCTTCATAAGAGTCCATTTTATGTAACTTAGGTGCACAATTTAGATATTTTTAAATGGTTATTATAAATGCTTGTTTTTATTATATATCTATCTGCATACATGGCATTATTGGTCTTATCTGTGATTTCTTTGATACTGAGTCCTTGGTCAAGAACTCAGCCGCTAGTGAATTGGTGAAACTCAGTTCACTTTGCTATACAGGTGGAAAGCAAGGACTGGTAGGATTTTCTTGTCTTTATGTTAAAAATTTTTGCTAGTCTATCAACTGAAAGTTTGATTAAAAAAAAACTACTATCCTGTTACTGGACCTGAAGTTTTATGAATTACGTTTTTTGGTTAAATTGTATTAATATATTCTTACCTCAAATTGTGAGAAGGGAAGGTACTCACCCCCCTCAGTAATTAACATAAAAAAACCATTTTTGTTTCTAATAGGCTGTAATGGGTCTATATATGAAACCCTGATACCATTAAATCAGAGTAAACCTGAGGAGAAGCAAGTACTGGTCACATCCCTCTTACTAAAAACTTATGTATCTGGCAATGTTCTAAAGGGAGTTTCACTTGCTATCCTTGATAAGGATCATGTTGCAGTCATGGGAACTTCACTCAAGGCTCCTAAAGGTAACTGTCTTCAGTCTGTCAGCAAGCTTCCTTCAGAATGTCTTCTGTAAATGAAAGGACTGAGAAGGATACTACCACACGCCCACTACTACCTGGATTAGGTCACACTTGGATTTTTTCATTAGTCTCCTAACTCATCTTTCTCCATATGGCTCCCTAAAACACTTTTTAAAAAACAAATCTCTATCTTGCTCAAAAACCTTAAGTAATTCCTCATTATCTATGTTAAAGTTTCCCTTCGCATATCTTGAGAGACTGCTGCTTCTGACCCCATACCTTCTTTTAGCCTCTCTGGCATTTGATATGTCATGAAGGAGGTGAGGTCCATTGCTTCTGGACCCAGCAGGCTTTTCATTAGGAAGGCTTGCACAGGTAGGAACCATTTAGCTTAAACTTGAAATTTGAGTGATTGTTCCTTAGCTTAGCAATTTGGAATATAAAGTTCCTGGAGTTTAGCACGAGGGGAGGGCTCCTTTGTTAGCAACCCTCACTCTCAGAAACACCCAGTAATTGGATTGTTTCAGAGCTGAGGATGTCCTCAGTGGTTTGGGTGAAATTTTATTCTGTAGGTCCTCTGTGTAACAATTAAGGAACCTTACGATTTTGGTCCCAACCTGAATTTTACTTGTACTTGCCAATAGGGACTTTCTGCTTCAGCAGTCAGGTTAGTCTCACTATTACCTACTCCTCTTTCTTCCCTCCCACAATAATTCTTTGCTCTTTTTTATTTCAATACCTTTGTTCACACCCTTCCACCCCTCCAAGTACTGCCTTTTCTTCAGGAGCAAACAATTATGTCTTTCAGTTGCCTACATACTCTCTATGATATATTATTTATGTTTTTAATACTTATTTTGTCACTTTAATAGAATCATAAGTTTAGAGCTGCAGGGGACATTAGAGGTCATTTAATCCAAGCCCCTCATTTTTCAAATAAGGAAACTGAGGCTCAGAGATTAAGTGAATTGCCCAAGGTCACATAGTAGTTAGTGGCAAAGCTGGGTTTGAAATGCAGGTCCTGATTTGTAATGTCGTTTAGCTGCCTGTAACTCAGCATATCCAAAACAGGATTTACCATTCTCCTCAATTCCACCCTTCTAAACTTCCACATTGTTGTCAAGAGTACCCAGTCAGTCAGGTTCATGACCTTGGTGTCATGCCCAGATCCTTGCTTTACCCACTTATCCAACCCGCTGCCAAATCTTGTTGTTTCTGTCTGCATAACAACTTTTGTATACTTCCCCTTCTCTCTGCTCACACAGTGACTACACTGGCTGAGGCCCTCATGATCTATTTATGGCTTGACTCCTCCAAAATGATTTTTCTAAAATGCAGGTCTGACCATGTCAGCACTCTTTTTCTCCTGTCCCACTTCCTGCCTCCCCACCCTCCAACCTCTGCTCAGTAAACTCCACTGGCTCCAAAGAGGGCCTCTAGTGTCAAATAACAACTGCTCTGTTTGGTATTTAAAACTTTCTTTTTTTTTTTTTTTTTTTGGTGAGGTAATTGGGGTTAAGTGACTTGCTCAGAGTCACACAGCTAGTGAGTATTATGTGTCTGAGGCCGGATTTGAACTCAGGTCCTCCTGACTCCAGGGCCGGTGCTCTATCCACTGCGCCACCTAGCTGCCCCTAAAACTTTACATAATCTCTCCCCTTACTACCTTTGCATTTTCATACTTGACTTCCCTCACACAGTGTATAGTCCAGTCATCCAGGCCTACTTGCTGTTCCTCACACACTCCATCTCCCATGTCTAGAATGCTCTTGCTCTTAGAATCTTTGGCTTCCTTCAAGAATCAGCTCAAATCCCCCTGGGTATTAATGTCTTCCCCTCTAAAGTTATCTCCTGGCTATTCCATAACTACCTTGTCTGTTTTGTCACGTCACCTGCATTAGAATGTAAATTCTTTGAGGCTAGAGACTATTTTTACTTTTTCTTTCTGTCCCTAGCACTTTGATATGAGTTTGGAAGACTTTAAAAGGAAAATTAAAAATTATTCTTTGTTTTCACTATAATGTCTAGGGGCACTGAAAATTTGTATTTATGATACTTTTATTCTGATAGCATATTTCTGTTTCATAGAAAGCATCTCTATTTGGAATATAAAATTCCAAACATTACAGACCTCAAAGGAATTATCACAGGAGACCAGTGGTCAAGTAAGTTGTTTTATAATCTTTTCTGGTTTATTGAAAAAAAAAGTTTGATAGTTTACCTATAACAAACAGCATGGTATAGTAGATAAAAGGTCAGCCTTAGAGTAGGGATTTGGCTTTGGAAATAGAAAGCCAAACAGAAATATAAGGCACAGATTTGCTTATTGGACTCCTGTTATAGGTTTAAGTCTAGACATTATGCAGAGAGCTTTATCTTTTAAATTAAGCTAACCTGTGATTTGATCTTTGGATCTTTTGTATTGTAAAGTACAATCTAAGACTTATTTTGCTCTTTAGTAAATTTAAACATTTTTCTTTTTCTCCCTGATAACTTAAAAGTTCTCATGGTAGCAAGTAAAGGGCTAGTCAGAAATATTAGAATTATAACATTTGAATGGTAAGAATAACATAGGAATAACCACTGTAATTGAAGAATGAGGCCAGAACTTTGTGAATATAATTTTGAAACTACCCTTAAAAATAATTGAACTGTGTAACACATTAGTCAAAATTTGTACAAGCCAAAGTTATTGTGCATTCCGTGTATCTGCATTGTACTGTATTCTCAGGCACTGCTTATTAAACAGTACAGTGGATTTCCCTGTATTCTGAAATATAATAGAAATGAAGAGTCAGGAGACCCATCCTGTATGGTATCATCTAGATATGTCGTAGTAAATAGCTAACATTTATATAGCCCTTTAAAGTTTACATAGTGCTTTACATATACTAGATCCTCACAAAAACTTTGTGAAGAAAGCACCCTTATTATCCCCATTTTACAGATATGTAAACTGAGGTTTACCCAGCTAGTGAATGTTTGCAGCAGGATTCAGTCTTAGGTCTTCCTCACTTTTCTGGACAGTTTGATAGCTTCCATGCACCTGACTTCCTCTTTCATGTGAAACATGGCTGAGCTTTGCCTTGTCCTCCTGGAGCATCTTTTGTGCCCAGCACAGAGCCTTACACATATGTGATACTCTATAAATGTTTGTCAAACTAAATTGAGTTGTCAGGCTTTATTGAATGAAACTTTACAAGTGGAATAATGAAATTGCAAAAAATATTTTGTTTTTAATGTGTTTTTTTATTTTGTAGCTCTGGTGTTATGGAGGGAAATTGTTTATGCTACATGGAAAGTTTTTGACTGTGATTCCATTTAAATGTGAAATATCATCATTAGCAGCTGCTCTGGGAAAACTCAAGCATATTCAGGCTCCAGGTATGAATTGTTATATCAGTGTAAACACACGTCTTTTCTTGCTCCTACTCTGACACTGACTCCCATAGCTTTCCTATAGGTCATGCCTTTGATGTTTGCTATTAATAGTAGAAACTTTGAGGGACAGCTATCCTTCTAGAAAAGCCAGTGTCCAAGGACAATAGGAAAATCCCTAAGGCAGGGTAGATACTGACTCTGTGTCTCATGGACCTCATCTAGTTACAGAATCCTTTTCCTGAGTTTATGGACTTTCATTGTACATAATTTGATTTACCATCCTATGAGGAAAAGTCATCAAAAGAAATTTTAAGGTGTCTATGAATTGTTGGGGTTTTTTTTGTCAAGGGATTGTGAATATGAATTAATATAAAAACATAGTATCAGACAGCATGATTACAGAAATTATGTATTTTGTGTCTTCACAGGTACCCAAACTGTGTCCCACTTTGTAAACTGGGGAACATTTCAAGGAGATGGACTTGAATCACAAGATTCAAATAATTTAGCACCCCTTAAAGGACAGTCAAAGAGCAGTGTAAGTTAGAGAGTTTTTATGAAGGTATCATTGTCCAGCGTAAATGTCCAATAAGAAATATACCAGAAAATCATCATTTCAGATCCAAGCATTCCTTTTAAAGTTCAGTAATCCATTTATGCATCAATTTATCAAACATTTATCCAGTACCTACATGTGTAGGCATCGTGCTAGGCACTGGGGATAGATACAAAGACAAAACTGAAATGGTCCCTTCCAACAAGAACTTCTCATTCTACCAAGGATAGAGCAAAGCTATAATGTTGTTTCCCATCAGTGCTGGGAAGTTTGGACTAAAGCACAAACTTGGAAGGCAGTGTGGCATAGTAGAAAGAAAAATATGTGTGGTGCCGTATCAGAGGACCTTGCTATCTGAGTGACATTGAACAAATTGCTTAACTTTTCCGTGCCTCATTTTCCTCATCTATATGAGGCAGTATTGTCTAATGGATAAGGTGCTAGACTTGGAAGATGGCCTAGGTGTTAAAATCCTATTCCAGATACTTTATTAGCTGTATGATCTTGGGCAAGTCAGTTATCCTGTATGTGCATCAGTTTCCTCATCTGTAAAGTGAGGAGTCAGATGTTTTCTAAGGTCCTTTCCAGTTCTAAATCTATGCTTGTATAATCTTAAGGTGATTTAGAGTGGTGCAGGTGACCAAAGTCCCTCCTTGTTCTGAATCTATGAATTACTGTGGACCTTTATCACCTTCATCTGTCACCTTAACTGTTAACGGTAGCTTCCTAATTGGTCTCACTGCTTTCAGTCTCTTCTCTCCAATCCATTTTATATTTATATTCCTAAAATATAGACCTGACTGAGTCACTTCCCTGCACAAGAAACTTCTGTAGTTCCCCGTTGCCTCTAGATTAAAAATACAAATCCTTCTCTCTGGCATTTAAAACCCTTTAAAATCTGGTTTTAATCATAGAAATCACAGAATTTAATAATCAAAAGGCACCTTAAGCCATCTGGTCCAAACCAAACCTGAAATGAATTCCTAACTGGCTGTCCTTGTGTCATCCAGTGTCTACTTGAAGGATTAGGGGGCCCACTGCTTCTCAAGGTAGCCCCTTCCACCTTTTGACCAATTTAATTGTTAGGAAGTTTTTTTGACATCAACCCTAAATTTTCCTCTTTCACCATTGCTTATACTTCTGCCTTCTGGGCCAAACAGAACTAATCTTAATCCTTTTTTTTTTTTTTTTAACCTCGTAATGGCCCTTGAAACAGCTGTCCTTCCCTGAGTCTTTTCCAGGCTAAACATCTCTTGGTTCTTTGTGACATGGACTGAAGACTCTTTACCATCCTATTTTGCCCTCTCCTGGATACTCTTCAGCTTCTCAGTGTCTTTTTTAAGCCAGGGTACCCAGAAGTAGACACAGTTCTCTTAATTCTTTTATTTTGGCTAGACAGTGGGGCTAAGTGACTTGCCCAGGGTCACACAGCTAGTGAGTGTTTTTTATCTGAGCTGAGATTTGAACTCAGGTCCTCCTGAGTCCAAGGCTGGTGCTCTATCCACTTGGCCACCTAGCTGCCCCAACAGTTCTCTAGATAAGGGCTGAGGGGTGTAGAGCTCAGTGGAATTCTCACCTCCCTATTCTGGGAAACTTTTCCTCCTCTTAATGCAACCCAAGATCACATTATCTTTTTTAGCTGCCACATTGCATGGATAACTTAGATATTGAGCTTGCAATCCACCACATTCCCCAGACCTTTTACAGACAAATTGCTATCTAACCATATACCTCCCTTATCTTATACTTGTGAAGGTTGTTTGATTTTTTTGTACCAAAGCATACGACCTACCTTATTGAATTTCATCTTACTAGATTCAGCCAAATCTCCAGCCATCAGTCTCTGTTTGTATCTGTCATCTAGTGTTAGCTATCCTTTCCATCTTTGCGTCATCTTCAAATTTGATAGGCATGCCATTTATATTTTTATCCAAGTTATTGATCAGAATGTTAAGTAGTATGGGGCCAAACATTGTACCTGGGCTACTGGAAACTGGACTGTCACTGATGTTGAACCATTAACAAATGTTCTGATTTCAGCCACCGAACCCTTGGGGTTTGTATCTTTGTATCTTTATATCTCTTGTTTGTATCTTTATATCTCTTCCACAAGAACAATATGAGATAAACATTAACAAAAGCTTTGCTAAAATTCCCCTTATCAATCAGTTTTCTGGTTTTCTCACAAACAAATGAAATTACTCTGGTTTTTGATGAAACCACACTGGCTCTTATAATCACTGTTTTCCTTTCTAGATGTTCACTAATATTCCTTTAGTGTTCCATTCTAAAATTTCCCCCGGAATCAAAGTCAAGCTCACTGGTCTACAGTTGGCAGATTCTCTTTCTTCCCTTTTATGAAAATTATGTCGTTTGTCCCTCTCTAGCCTTGTGGTGTGACCTGTTTTCTACAATCTTTTAAGTAGTACCTACAGTGGCTTAGCAGTCTTGTCTAAAGTTCTTTCAGTCCTGGACTAAGTGACTTGTATCCATCCCGGGCAGTCAGATTGTTTCTTATTTCTGCAGACAGACTTATAGTAGGTCTGAGCTCTCTATTAGCCATAAACAGAAAGAAAGTAAGAGTTGAACAGCTCTGCCTTCTCATTTGTATAGATATAGTTGGACCCATAAGAACAGTCGAGATTTATCAGATGGGTGACTAGAAAGAGGTCCTAGGCATAGACCTCTTCTTAGGGAATGCTGTTTATCAAAGGAAACTGAGAGAGTTGGGGAGACAGGTAGGAAGAGAATCCAGAGAGCAGTGTCAGGGAAACCAAGAGAGGAAAGAGTATCATAGCCATATCAGAAGCTTCAGAGAGGTCAAGGAGCGTGAGAATTGAGAAAAGGTTATAAGAATTTTCAATTAAAAATTATTGGTAACCTTGAAAAGAGCAACTTTATTGGAATGGTGGGTTTGGAAGTCAGATAACAAAGTGTTGAGAAGTCAATGGCAGGTGAGAAGGTGGAAACAACGTGTGCAAATGCCATTTTCCTATTTTGGTTTCAGAGAGAAGTGATAGAACATTAGCTTGAAATTGGATGAGTCAGTTTTTTTGAAGTTTTTAAGGTTGGAGATATATCTGAGCATGTTTGTAAGTGGTAGAAAAAGAGACAGTAGGTAGCAATCGAAAATTATAATGAGAGGGAATTATCAAGTTCTCAGGAGAAGGGACCAAGGGCCTAGATAGAGAGGCCGAACTTGACAAAAAGGACTGCATCTTTCTCTAAGATTGGAATATCAAGTTGTTGGTTCGTTGTTCTTGAAAAGGACCAAAGGCATCACAAGGATGAGGTCTTAACATGTGTGTGAATTGGATTTAAGTGAGGCAGAGCTGTGCAAAGTCCTCAGTAAAGCAGAAGAAAGCTGGTCATTTTCCCGAGGTATTTGAGATACAGAAAGGGAGAGAAGAGGGAGCTCTTGTGTGCAAGTGGCCCCAGTTTTTTGGTAAAGTATGAGATGAAACCCTTTGCCAAGGAGGAATTAGGAAAATGTGGTTCACATGGCTTGGGGAAAGGGGAGAAGGTTTAGAATAGAGCCTGGGTGGAATGAATAAATGAAGTAATGAAAATAATTTATTATGGATGTGGTATGTGCTATAAACACTGTGCTAATTGCTGGTGTTACAAACACAAAATCAAGACATCCCTCAAGGAACTTACATTCTAGTAGATGTAAACTACATGTATAAAGAAGTCATTGCCAGGAGAGAATATTTTGATTTAAGAAGTCCTGGAATGGTAAGTAGAGCCATGTGTAAATCAGTTGAGGCACACTTTTTGAGAAGAAATGGTAGTATTACTTGGTATTTGCCATTTTCAGAACAAGAGACTGAAAGTGTTATATGGAGGGTAGGGTGGAGAGAAGAGTTACAAAGGGTGATTAGCAAAGAGATGGCCATGGTGAGCAACAGTTAGCTAGTATGTGAAGCATAGTGTAGGCCTTCTAGCTGGTATGGTAGGGAGTTAATTGGGGAGAAAAAAAAGATTGGTGTGTGGATGTGAAGGCACAGTTGAGATTAGATAACAAATCTGTTTTGAACCAAAGCAACACTGTGGCACGATTTCTAGTAACGTTCAGCTGCTTAAAGTAGATGTTTTAAGTAATCCAGGGTTGCAGTTTGGCAAGAAATGAGGGATCCAAGGATGCAAGAGTGGAAGACAATGTAAAATTGAACTGTTAAACTAGAGCATCAAGATCACAAAAGGAAGGAAGATGGGGACAATAAGTTGCCAGTCTGGCCCTTATCACCTCTTGCCTGGATTGTGTTAAGTTACCTAATAATTCTCCCAGTCGTTCCCCTCTCCACCAGTGGACTAGCATTTATTAAGCACCTACTAAGTACCCTTCACTGTCCTAAGTGCTGGGGATACAAAGAAGGCAAAAAACAAAACAAACCAAAAAACCCAGGCCCTTCACTCAAGGAAGTCACAGTCTAATGGGGGCTGGAGGGAGACAATGTGCAAACAACTGTGTACAAACGATATTTACCAAGTACAGTGAGGGTCTTCGAAGTCACTGAGATTAAGAAGGACTGGAAAAGGCTTCTTGTAGAAGGTGGTGTTTTAGCTGACACTTGAAGGAAACCAGGGAATCCTGGAGGCAGAAATGAGAAGGGAGAGAGTCCTGGGCATGGGGGACAACCAGTGAAAATGCTGGGGGTTGGGAGCGTCATCTTTGAGGAAGAACAAGGAGGCCAGTGTCCCTGGATCAGGAGTGTATGGAGGTGAAATAATCTCCTAAGGCACAAGTCTGATAATGCTCAAATATCTTCAGTGACTCCCTGTTTTCTCTAGAATAAAAAGAAAATTCCTCAGCATTTAAAGAGCTCAGCAGCCTGACTCTAACTTTATTTTCCAGACTGATTCCCTTTCTTACAGTCTATGTTCCAGCCAGACTGGACTGCAGTCAGGTCCTTGAAATCTCTATCATTCCATTTGTGGAATGCATTATGTATTTATACAAGCCGCCCCTTAATCCATACATATCCATCCTTCTCAAATAGTGTCACCTCTTTAGGGACTAGATTTGCACACAGTAGACACTTAATAATTGGGTTGAAGTTACATATTCACATCCTAATTACCAAATCGTGTTTGTTCTTCTCCATTCAACATTTTCTACCCTTTTTCAGGCCTACTTCCCCTCTCTTCTGGTGGATTTCTATAATAAGTATGTTCCTGAGTGGTCTTCCTGTGTCCTTTCTTTCACCTCCAATCCATCTTCCCACATAACTGCCACAGTAATCTTCCCAAAGCATAGCACAAGTCTGACCATGTCCCTCCTCTACTCAAAAAGCTTTAGTGACTTTAGAATAAAATACATACTTCTGGCATTTAAAGCCCTTCATAGTGTGTCTTTAGCCTATTTTTACAGACTTATTTGACATCACCTCATCTCATGAATTCCAGCCACACTGGCATATTTTCTCTGGCCCTTAGGCAACATTACATCTCCTGCCTTGGTGCCTTTGCCAAGGCTATCTCCTTTGCCTGAAATGCTACTCCTCCCTTTCCTGTTATGAAATCCTAAGCTCCATTCAAGGCTCAGTTCTAGTGCTACCCCTTAAAAGAGGTCTATACTGATTCCTTCTGTTAATAATCTCTGTTCTCACACCTCTCACACCTCCCACTCCTCCCTCATACACTTTGTATTTACATTAAATTTTGTATCGACTTCTGTGTGAACATGCCTTCCTCACATTAGAATGTAAGCTCTTTGAGGGTTAGAACCACTTTCATTTTTGTCTTTGTATCCCCATCACTTAGCACTGTACCTGGCATATAAGTGTGCATTTAATAAAATGCTTATTAAATTGTTCTCCAACAGCCTAAACTTTTAGATAACCCACCCAGAAGAAAATAAAGGAAAAGGTTAGGAAGAAGAAACTTAAAAGGAGGAAAAAGGATGAGAAGGATAGGTGCCTAGCAGCACCTCTCTACTGAATTAGGGATACTTCTTTTCCCTTGCTGATTTACCACAACTTTAGGTATTAATGCTAGCACTATAATCATCATGACCAAATTTCACAATAACAGAATAGTTTAGATATCCCTGGATTTATTTTGCCTGTGATATAAATATACATTAATCTTTTGAGGAAGTTTGTTTCTACTAGATGGTTTGTTTTTTTTTAACTGCTTCAAGGTCCTAATCGATTTATTTAATTCTAGTTAAGGACAAGAAGAAATGAGACCAGGTCTCAGCTGGAGGATTTAACAAACAGAGAGTTTTTATCAGGTATAAAGGTAGGTAAATAAAATAGTTTCTTGGCACATATAAATTATTTTTATTCCTAAATCAATTAAAATTTCACTTTAATTTCCATTTATTTGTACAAGTATTCAAATATAGAAACAAAAACAATGACCAAGAAAAGATTATAATTGTCCATTTTGGTCATTCAGTAAGCATTTATTAAGCCCCTATTATATGCTAGGCACTGTGCTAAACTGTGTCCATAAACTTTTGTTCTTTACAGATTAATTTTTTAAGTATGTATTTACTTTAACATCCAAATCTGTTTCTCTGACTCCCTTTTGAATTTTTTTTTCCTATTTTTCTACCTTGTGTTTTGACAAGCACAAGGTTCTATTAATTCAGGACAACTTTTAAGTATGGATATTAGGGTAACTTTTCTTTTAGGGCACTAAAAAATTTAAGCCTTGTGCAGAGGAAATGCGACAAAACCTCAATTAATTGAAACTTTTTAAGAAACAGAAAATTCTGCTTAAAAATTTTAAGTGCATGGTTCTACCTGGCGTAATGCCCGGCACACAGTTGGTGCTTAATAATGCCTGTTGCTTGCTTAGTATGGTATAATAATTGAATCTTTGTTTGCTGATCATTCCCAATATCCATTTCCATTGTGTAGATTTAGAAGCATAAGATGCTGAACTGAGATTGTACTGACACCAGGCCACATCCTGGAAGCTGCTTTTTGACATAAACTTCAAATAATAACTAGTTTTCTTGGAAATTTGTTTCTTTCTCTTAACAGTGAAGTGCTAGGTAATACTAACTCTTGTTAAATGAAGTTTTTCAATATTTGAAAACAAGGCATTACTTGAAATTCTAATTTTGATCCTGGCTGTGGCTCTCAATCTGAATCCAGTACTTGATGCTAAAGAAAGTACATTTTATAGCATCATCTTAACAGAATGAGAATTGGAACCTCTTAGCACTTCTTTTTTGAACACTCTGGTTTTTTGCAGGATGATCCTTTTCTTGTTTTAGGTCAGGATTTTTAACCTGGGGTATGTGAACTTGTGTTTTAATATTCTGAAAGTTGTATTCTAGTACAGTTGATTTCCTTTGTATCCTATGTATTTAATTCTTTGCATTTAAAAACATTCTGAGGAGAGGTCCCTCTGTTTCTTTCACCAGCCTGCTAGAGTGGCCCCAGAACCTCCATTTCAGATAAAGTTAGATTTCAGTAAGGAGAGGACTAAATTGTCCATAAGCTCTAAAGAGATATGGAATGTTGATAAACAGAATCTGAATATGAAACTGGGAACTAAGTGCTCTTAATTAAGTTCTCTCTGTCTCTTTCTCTGCATAGAGTATTTAAACTTGCACAAACATTTCTTTGTGATCTTGCCTAGCTTATGAATAAACAAATTCTGGCTAGCACTATAGCCTCATGCAAGGTATTCTGCCTGCTGCCCTATCCAGTCCTCTCTGGTCCCATTCTCCCCCACCATCCCACGCCCATGCCTCAGTTTCCTTATCTATAAAAAGAGATGGTTGGACTACATGATCTTCCAAGGTCTTCTCCAGGTTGTTAGTTTATGATTACAAGTTACTTATAGATGAATCATTAAATCATACATTGACTAAAGCAGCAGTTCAGTTGTCCTCCCAGGAGTTTAACGTAGAATTCACTTTGGAACTGCAGCTTTGTTAGAGTGCAGTCTTTACTTATAGTATATCAATTTTCATTTTATAAGCATTCATTAATGATGCCACTGCTAGTAACTGAGTGAAAATGAGAAAATATTCTATTCATATTACTTTAGAATTTTGATTTAATAGCATGTTACTATGACAGAGTGGGATTCCACTTGTCTTTCAGGATGCTTCTGAAAAACACCTTGAACAGCAGCTGAGTAAGTTTTTGACTGATAAACGGACACCTGAATTTCAAATTACTGTTGGGCACATAGTAACAGAACTGGTGGAAAGGTGTAAGGCAGAACCAGCATTTTATCCTCAGAGTAGTCTGGTACAACTCATCCAAACTCAAGTACTTTCTTACAGGTAAAAGCTTTTCTTGCTTAAAGATAATTTTGTATGTACTACATTCTTGTAATATGTTTTATAAAATTCCAACTTCTATATTTGGGGGGGAAATTACAGAATATTTTTACAAGTGGAATTTGTGTGGGATTTTAAAATATTGCATCTTTTATTTTTCTCTCAGTTTGTGTCCTGACTTGATGGCAGTTGCCTTGGAAAAGAGAGATGTACATTTGTTACAGCTCTGTCTACAGCAGTTCCCTGACATTCCTGAATCAATTACCTGTGCTTGCTTGAAGGTTTTCCTAAGGTATGTGGGAAACAAACTGGTTTTTTTTCCCTTTGTTTCAGTTCTTAGTATATGTTTTCATTGTTACTCTTTACAGAAATTTTAAGAATGCTTAGAAAATTAAGTCCTTGGCATTTCTCTGATTTGGAAAGAGACTTATTTTTGGTTATAGTAACCTGTTGTTAGGGAGAGGAAGCAATGTGGAATCATCAGAATGAATTTCATGCTTATTGATGACATATCTTTTTTTCTTGTAGCATTGGCGATGACAGCCTTGAGGAGACAAATGTGAACGTGGAGTCAGTTATTGGTTACATTAACTTTGCCCAAGATGAGAAAATGGGAAAAACAGAAGTTGTTCAAAATGGTTTCAGTCCAGTACTTTTAGAAGAGAATAACTTTGAAGACAAGTTAAATAAACCGGATGACACAATGAATACTACTCTAACATGTCCTGTAACTCCCCAAAAAGCAGCTTTACTGTATCCTTTGAAACATAAATTTTTTTGTGTGTCTTTTACCAAGTGGTAACCTTACTTTACAAAAAAAATATTAGAGTAAACCAGGGATATTATTTCATGTTTTAGAATGTTAACTTAGTATTAAAGTGACCGAGAGGCATCATTGTATAATGGATAGAGAAGCCAGACTCAAGAGTCAGAAATAGTGTGGGTTCAAGTTCTGCCTCTGACGCCACATTCTCACTGTAGCATCATGAACAAGCCACATAACTTCTCAGTGTCTCAGATGATTTTCAAAGGTTTTAAGTTACAGATAAGTTGATGCTCTGCATAGTGGAAGGAGTTTACACAATTAGGAACTCCCCACAATGATGAAATCACAGCTCTGTACCAACTGAAATGGTTAGGTTTTCTTTTTAAGTGAAATGAATTGTAATAATGGGCATATTCAAGGCTGTTTACTTAAGTCCAGTTCTTTTAGCCAGTTAAATTGAGTTCTTCTAAAGTAAGAGTTCTAATTTCTAAATGTCATAATCAGTGTTCCTAATAAGAAGTCTTAAATTTTAATATTTTAAGTAGCAGTTCATAGAAAGAACTGCCACCAGACAGCCAAAAGTAACTGCTTTCTTAGTGTCAGTTTGCTAATTAGCACTTTTAAAAATATCTTGTTACTGTTTTGAATAAAAGACTCATTCATGCAGTAGTTAAGCATTTTCACTAAGGGTTTAGCAAAAAATACTTGATAATAGAGTTAATCTTTTTCCTTAAAAATTTCATACAAATTTAAGAAAGTATTTTTATAGTGTAATCTTTTTTATACATCCTTAAGGTGATGTTTATTTTCCTTTAGTCATAAATAGAAATGCAATTCTCCATTCAGCATATAGTGAAACATTTCTTTTGCCCAATTTGAAAGACCTCACTGTGCAACACGTCATTGTAAGTACTCTTTCATAAAGAACTTTGTTGAAATTAGATTTCTCTTTTTTTTTTTTAGGCAATTGGGGTTAAGTGACTTGCACAGGGTCACACAGCTAGTAAATGTCACGTGTTTGGTGTGAGGCCGGTGCTCTATCCACTGTGCCACCTTGCTGCCCCGAAATTAGATTTCTCTTTTAGATTTTTGCTATCACCTAGTCTGCTTGTGAAAATAACAGCACGGCACAGCCATAATGTTGAGTTAAAATTGGGTGTGAGAAATTGGGGAACTTGAGGAGGATTAATGGACATGTGGCATTACTCCCAAGTTAAGTCTCAGAGCATAGCTGAAAGTAAACAGACACTAGAAAGAAATACAGGAGAAATAAATAAAGCAGAGGAAAGGTTGAAAGATTTCTCTTGATGAACTAAGTATTTGCTTTGGATAAAAATGTTGTCTTTTTTCTTTATCCTAGCTCTTTCTCCAGTATTTGCATTTCCTTTATGAGAAATGTAGTGAAAATGCTAGTATGACTCTTCCTGGACCCTGTCCTCCAACCCTGAACCAGGTGAGAAGGTGGTACATTTACTTTGTTCTGAGTAGCTAAACAGTTAACTTTGGTTATAGGCAGGGTTTGGGGGAAAAACATGACCGGTGACGAAAGTTGGGTTTCATTGAGGAATTTCATAGGACTCCTGGTCCTTATAACCATTACAACATATCTTTCTTTTCTTGTTACCCCCCCCCCAATTTTTTTTTTTTGTAAACTTCCTATCTCTGTTGCGTCTTGTACTCCTGACCAATTCATTGAACTCATGAAAAGAGTGCTGGACTTTGTGTCAAAAGAGACATGGATTCAGTTCCTGAAGCTGCTATTAGTTTTATGTCACAAATTGTTTAACCTCTCTAAGCCTCAGTTTTATCGTTTGTTGTTTTTTTTTTTAGGCATTTGGAGTTAAGTGACTTGCCCAGGGTCATACAGCTAGTGAATGTCTGAAGCCAGATTTGAACTCAGATCCTCCTGACTCCAGGGCTGGTGCTCTATATAGTTTTATCATTTTCAAAATGGGAATAATAATTGTACTTAATCTCAGAAGGTGATAGTGAAGCTCAGATGAAATTGGGTTTGATAGCACTTTGTAAATATTAAAGTGCTTTATAAATGTTAGTTATTATTATTTCTTGATCAGTGGAGTTTAGAGATAAACTATGTGGGGACAAATATAGGTACCTAGTTCTGCTTGATATTTAATACTATATAGACAATGGTGCAGAGGAGCAAAATGATTTTTTAATTGAACAAAAAGTGTTGAAATATAAACTTACTAAAAGTAAAAAACAGTAATCAATACACAAAGAGTTATTAAACACTCCATGTGCTGGGGATACAAATACAAAAAAAGGATAGTCCCTGTCTTAAAGAGCTTATATAAACCTTTCCATTTCTGTAAATAAATCCACATGATTCAGCCATTTGTTTTAGAGTTCTTTGTCCACATATTGTTGGTTGAGTTGGTGTGGATATGACCCCATTGATTCCCTGCTTGAATTTTAGCCATCAAAGACTATATTCAGCAAATGCAGTAACATGCACCTATTATCAGCCTTTACTATTGCTCTGTGAAGTGATACCTGTAGACCTCAGAAATATTTCTGTGAAATTTTAACTTGTTTAGTATGTGCTCCAGGAACATCTGTTGATCTTTCTTTGTTGACAAGACATTGTTAATCTTTCTATAGCTGCCTTGGGGATGATAGTTTTCCTTGATATTATAAGTGTTATGGTTTGGATCCTTCCTATTATTGTTGTTATAAATATTGTGATCATTAATTTTGAGGACTTATATATTCCCTCCCCCCCAACTACTTTTCAGAAATTTTAGACAGATGATATAGTAGAGATCTATTAGAAAACTTTATAGTTTATAAATGACCTGTAATAAGTGTCAAATTTATTGGAATGGCAATGTCATTGGCAAATTTTTTTTAGTATATTTTTGTTTATTTTATTAAATATTTCCTAATTACATGAAAAAATTTTTAACTTTTTTTTTTTTAATTTTAAGTTCCAAATTATCTCCCTTCTTTGGCTTTTCCATTTGAGAAGGCAAGCAATTTGATATCAGTTATACATGTGAAGTCACATAAAACATTTCCATATAAGCCATGTTGCAAAAGAAAACACAGATAAAAATAACAAAGAAAATAAAGAAAGTAGGGGGGAAAAAAAGTATGACTCAGTCTGTATTCAGAGTACATAGGTTCTCTGGAGGTGGATGGAATGGCATTTTCATCACAGCTCCTTTGGAATTGTCTTGCATCATTGCCTTGATCAGAGTAGCTATGTCTTTCACAGTTGATATTGTTACAGTATTATTTTTACTGTATACAATATTCTTCTGGTTCTGCTGTCTTTCCTTTATATCAGTTCATGTAAGTCTTCTTATGTTTTTTAACCATCCCCCCTGTCATTTCTTTGTTTTTTTTTACATTTTTTTTCAAATTACACATAAAAAAATTTTTAACTTTCATTTTTTCTTTTCTGTCATGAGTGAGGTGATATCTCAGTTGTTTTAATTTGCATTTATGTAATCAGTAGTGATCTAGAGGTTTTTTTTAATCTGACTATTTTGATAGTTTTGATTTCTTCTGAAAACTGCCTGTTCATATCCTTTGATCATTTAGTAATTGGTGAATTGCTCTTATTTTTATAAATTTGGCTCAGTTGTCTATGTATTTGAGAAATGAGGCCTTTATAAGAGAAACTTACTGTAAAAATTTTTTCCAGTTTTGTGTTTTCCTTCTAATTTTTGGCTATATTAATTTTGTTTGTGTAAAAACATTTTAATTTCATGTAATCAAAATTATCCATTTTACCTCTTGTGATCCTTTCTGTATCTTATTTGGTCATATACTCTTCTCCATAGATCTGACAGGTACATTTTTCCTTGCTCATCTAATTTACTTATGATATCACCCTTTATATTTTAATTATTTATCCATTTTTTTCCTTATCTTGGTTTATGGTATGAGATGTTGGGTTTATGCCTTGTTTCTTCCAAACTGCTTTCCAGTTTTCCCAGCAATTTTTGTCAAATGGTGAATTCTTCCTCCAAAAGCTTAGATTTTGGGGTTTATCAAACACTAGATTGCTGTGATCACATACTACTGTGTATCATGGATGTAATCTATTCCACTGATTGACCACTCTATTTCTTAGCCAGTACCAGATTGTTTTGATGATTACTGCTTTGTAATATAGTTTGAAATCTGATACTGCTATGCCACCTTCACGTTTTTTTCATTGATTCCCTTAATGTTCTTGACCTTTTGGTTTTCCAGATGTATTTTGTTTTTTTCTATCTCTACAAAATAATTCTTTTGTAGTTTGATTGGTATGGCAGCGAATAAGTAATTTAACTTAGGTAGAATTTTCTTTTTTAATCTCAGCTTACCCATGAGTGATTAATGTTTCTCCACTTGTTTAGATCTATCTTTATTTGTGTGAAAAGTGTTTTGTAATTGTGTTTATATAGTGCCTGGGTTTGTCTTGGCAGGTAAGTGCTCAATTATTTTATGTTGTTTGCAGTTATTTTAAATGGGCAAATAATGTTTTGAGAAGATAAAAGCATATTATATAAAATCATGTGTTGTGATCCAGTGTTTGTAATAGATTAGATATTAGGGTTTTAGGTAATAGTCTAGTAAGCTTCTTCATATTCTGGCATGTGTTTAAGCCCCATGCTGTTGCTTTGCCATCAGGCCTTTGGAAACAGTATTTTTTGATGAAAATTATTAAGTGAACTATACAGAGTCAGGAGGATATAAAATTACATGTTATTGTTTTATAAGTACCTAGGAATCAGCACTGTTGGGGATTATGGCAACTTTAGTCCCACATGATTCCATGGTTATGATCCTTATACACCTTTCAGAGTAGGGCAGAATTGGGTCACAAAGCAGAACAGTTAGATCATTTCAAAGAAGAGGGTCATAGTAGGGTCATAGATCAAAGTCTTGAATACTTTCTTTGACTTCATTGGTATTAATCATATCAAATAATCCAATAATCTTAAAGTGGTTCTTATAATGTACACCAAGTTTTAGAAAGAAGAGCCCTCTATTTCTTAGGATTGCCCATCTGTAAACTAAAAAAGTCCAGCTATACATTAAAAACAACTTCTTATTCTGGAAATTGTCAGACATGGCAGGTTTTGCACAATCCAACAACCTTTATTTTTCTATTTATCTACAGATTATGGATTGGATCTGTCTCCTGCTAGATGCTCATTTTACGGTTGTTGTGATGATTCCAGAAGCAAAAGGAATATTGGCAAGTCTTTATAAGTTTGTGAAAGCCCAGGTATGTGAATATTGGATACACCACAAGATTCATTTTCATTTTCCTTTCGGTAAAGTGCCAATTATCACCTAAAATTCAACTGATAATTAAAATTATGGTGCTGAATAGTTATTAACCAGATGGGATTTGTTTATACATAAGCATTATTAAAACATTGCTTTTAAAATTCTCTTTAGGTATGGGTTTATTCAGAACTCAACAAAATTGAAGGAAGTTTACAGCAGCTACAAAAACTGCACCAGCAAAGAAATATGGGATTGTATTCCATTGAAGTGCTTGAACTCATCTGAGATTAGCATCCATTATGCAGAGACTTTTTATGAAGACTTTTTCTTGAATGGACACTCTATTCCTACTTATCCAGTTAAGCAGAAGAATTTGATTTGTGACTTTGTTTTGATGTCAAGACAAGTTTCAAAGACCAAAGGGATCAGAGCTTCTCACTTAATGAGAGATCTGGGTTTCATACTGAACTATTCTAATTTTATAGATGATTGTTGGAAAGTGGAGAGTCATGTTCTGGAACTAACTTAAAAGTAAAACTTAGTTGATTTTAAGTAGACTTATTTGTGTGTGGATAAAAATCTAATTTCTTACACAATTTTTTTGAGTGGTACTTCTTAAAAAACAATTACCATTGAAGTAATAGAAGAATTTATTTTATTTGAATAAGAAAGCTACCCCACCTCATCAGTTCTCATGACCAAACATTTGGAATCAAAATTGAATGAAAGGATTTAACTATTTGCTAGTCATCTTCTAACTCTTATCTTTTTAAATACTTGTTGATTATTTGAAAAGTATGTAGACAAATTCCAACAAGACATGAAAAATATTTTACCTCTGCTCCTCCTTACATGGTACAGAGATGGCAAATGTATCCCAATAAATACGCAACACCTTTAATTTAAACCTGTTCTTTCCTCCACTGCTTTATGTCTATAAGTTTTTAAATATTCCTATTCCTCCATAGCTTCTCTAAGGTAACTTTACATCTTGTATTCAGTAACAAGAAATATTTTTTTATTTCTAGTTAAAATAATGACCAATTTGTATTTGTTGTGTATTTTGTTATTACAGCATAAAGGGTATAATATAAATATCAAGTGTAGCACTTGTAAAATACTGTCTTCATGATTGATTGCACTATTATACTGTCTGGGTAAATGAAAAGTTTTGTGTGGAGAGAAATTATGGATATTTTTGTTTCTTGAGAATACACTTTGAATTATTTATTAACTTTAGAATAATGAGAACCTACATTTCTTTAGATCAATGGTCTCCAAGCTTTTTGACCTTACGTTTATTAGTAAAAAAAAAAATTTTGCACATGCTTCATCATATATATGTATTTTTTTATGAATTTGTATATATGATCCTACTGTACTGATAGTTTTATACATTAGAAAACTTAAATGAAATAGAGACAAAATAATGTTCGATCCAAGAGTCAGTAGGGAGCAGTGGAATTTTTTTGAATAAGGGAGTGACATGATCAAACCTGTACTTTAGGAAAATTACTTTAGCAGCTCTTTGTGCAGGATTGGAGAGACACTTGAGTCAAGGAGACTAATTCAGAGGCTATAACATTAATCCAAGTGAGAGGAAGTGAGGGCTAGAACTAGGATGGTAGCTCTGTGGTTAGAGAGAAGGGGAGAGATTTGGAAATAGAAATTACAAGATTTGTTAACTGATTGGATATGTGGGGTGAAGGTGAGACAGAGTGAGGTGCTGAAGGCGACACTGAGGTTATGACACACCTGGTTGACTGGGAAGTTGATATTGCCTTCAGTGGTAATAGGGAATTTTGGAAAAGGGATGGGTTCTGGGAAAAAGACAACATGATGAGGTCTGTCATCTGTTCCAATTTATTCTTGCTTGCTCATTTTGTGCAACTCACTTTATCCCACCTAAAATTAAATAGGGGAGGAGGCTATTATTCATGGGTCATTTCCACAGAATGCAGAACTTGTTGAGGATTCCTGCCTCAGCCTCAAGGTTATTGGGGAGGGGTAGGAAGAAACAATAGGCCAAGTAAAGTAAAAAAGGCAGAATTTTCCCTATAACACCTAGTACAGCAGGTTATAAATAGCTGCAGGGCCAACTTACAGAAAGGGAAAGGCTCAGAACTTGTGTGTTGGAGGAGGACACAGTTGGTGTAGTGTTGGGAGAAAAGGGTAGGTATGGTTGCGTGAGGGGCAAATCCCACAATTAGATTTTCTGGGGAGGGTTGATTTTGCCCATCTTTCTACCCTTTGATGTGTTGATCACATGGTCCCTTTGTGGTCAGGCCTCAGCCCATAAATTTTGAGATTGCTCTTCTAGAGGATGAATTCATTTTCATTTGTGGGGGTGTGGGAAGCCAAATTATAAGATATGAGTATGTAAAATAACTTGAAACAGTACATGAACTGATTCCCCAGTGGAGAGGGTTTATTAAATATTAATGTATGCCGGGTACTATGATAAGTGTTGGAGATAAAAATATAATAAAAAAGACAGTCATTCCCTCAATGATCTTAGAGTTTTATAGAGGAAAACAGTACATGTAGGAAAGTAGAAGTTAGGGAGGTACATTTTGGATTGGGAAGGTCATAGGATGGTGAGTGGTGCCATGAGGACAATCTCCTTCCTCAGAATTGTATTACTGATTGGATTGCTTTTCACAGGGCTAGAAGTAGAAGGGATGAGAGATGGTAGAAAGATCGCTACAGCACAGCCTGGCCAGAGAGCAGCTTCATGGGGAGCTTGGTTAGGTTAGTTATGGAGAACACCCTCCAATCATGAGGATAGGGTCCCAGAGAGGTTGCAGCAGAACCTCATCCTAAAGGAGAGGACGTGGCATGGAACTGGCCAGAGAGCAGCAGTGTGGAGAGTCTGGGCAAGTCTGGTTTGGAGAACTCTCAACCAGAAGTACAGGACTGCTTCAGAAGAATGGGGCTAGAGACATGAAGTGGCCCAAGGAATAGAATAAAAAAATTTTGGTCCTATTTTAATATAAATGCTTTTAGTGTAATCAGAAAGTCACTTTTTTGTGTAAATTTCATATTATAAATGTACAACTACTTTATAGTAAGAGATTTCTTAAGCAATTCAAATTTTCTTTAGTACTAATTTGAACCTGTTGTAGGCAGCCAGTAAATAGGCTCTCATCTGTTCTGAAAGTTTTGTTTAGACATGAAAAGAAATACCTAAGGTGATAGCTTCTTAAAAAAAAAATAGTTGGGAAAACCTTGCCCTTTCAAAATCAGATTTTTTTAAAATGACAACAAACTTTTTGTTATAGCAAAGCTGTCCTAGAGTGGACAAGCATAGGAAAGTGGGTCATAGGGATCTCTTCACAAAGTGCATCCTCCTTTTAAAAAGGTGAATAAGCAATGTATGATGGAGTCTGGAGAGGAGGGTCTGGGACACCAGCCCCTGTGTGCAGAGACCCTGGCACACTGTCAGCCCACTCTTGGGGTGTGCAGGAGTCAGGCAGACTGAAGGAGGTGTTTACATGACATTTAGCTTGGGGAGCAGGCGATCTAGTAACTTCATATTTTAAACTCATTGTTCTTGGTAACCAGATAGTGTGTTTTTCGGATAAAAAGCTGGCCTTGAAGGCAGAGAAACCCAAGTTCAAGACCTGTCTCTGACACATCCTGGCTCTCTGACCCTGAGCGAGCCACCTGCCTTCCTAGTACTTTAGATAATAGATTTATACCCGTATTGGTTGAGGAAGTTTCCTCATTTGGGAGTTCCCTAAGTTGATGAAATCCTCAGGTCCATTCCCTATGTCTGTTGTTATAATCCTATCAAATTACAAGACCAATGTTAAGTTTTCCTGTTTTTATGATGCTGAAGAAATAAGTGCTGTTAGCTTCCTCAATTTCAGTGACTTAGAGTAAAAGGCCAGTTTTCCCACCATAGTTAAAGCTTTGGTTAACTGTGTTATAGCTAGCAAAATTAATACGGGCTAAGGTAGGAAAATTCAGTTTGTTTCTTAAAAAACAGTTATAAATTGTTTCTTATATCTCCAGCCCATGTTATTAACTTTTAAATCTTTGTGAAAGGACTCTAATGATTGCTGTCAGCCCACCTATGGTATTGTATTTCTAAGATTCTACAGTGTTTGTTTTCCTCAAGAGTATATCACTTGGATTTTAACCACTAAATAAGACTAAGGCTAGACTTTTTCCACAGAGCTAAATTATCATGAATTTATTTTTGATGCCATGTGCCAGAAGGGCAGCTCTTTAAATTGCAGTTCTCTATGTAGGAAGTGGGTTTCCTGCAGTGAACCTTATCTCCTCTGAAGGAAGCCTGACCCAGCAAGATACTATTGCAGCTTAATCTTAGCACCTTTTTTCTCTTGCCCCTTGTTCTTTCTGTGTCAATTTTTGCCAACCATTTCTATGTTCAACTCTGTTTTGGCTCATATTTTGATGTTTAAATAGAGCTTTTCCATCTGTGGAAAGCAGACAGTATCTTCAAAAAGCAAATTAGGCCAAAGTCCTAATGACCCCTGAGTGAAGAAAAAAAGAAATTTAGAGACACACTGGGAGGTTCAGTTCAAGTCATTCATTGAGCACCTCCTGTGCTCCAGGTACAAGCATTGACAGGCACTGGGAGACAGACAAAATAAAACAGATCCTGCTTTTAATGAGTTTGGTTTCAAAAAATCATTTTCACAAACAGAATGGGAGAAATATGGTTAGAGAGCAGTTTTTCTGAAAAAGTCTTAGGACTTTTACTGACTGCAAACTCAATCTGAATCAGCAGTGTGTTGTAGCAGTCCAAAAAAATGAATACAGGAGGACTTCCATCAAAAATGACTTCCTGAATAAAGGTAGACAGCCCAGTTCCTCTATATATAACACAGCAAAATGAAATTAACGTGAGATCAAATAATAATCAAGAAATCCAATGAGAAGCCACAGTGACTTCTTCCATTCCCAGAACTGCAGAAGGAGTTATTCAGAAGCCTGTGGTCATTAGGAAAGGAGACACAAAGCCAACACTAGTTTAATGAGGTTAACCAGAGCATTGCATCTTGGAAACTATGAGAAGTAGCAAATGGTGTTTTATGGCAGTATTCAGACCAACACAGCCCACGTCCCTAGTACTTGGATCTATATCCAGTCCATTTAGGGCCTTGAAGATTTAACATCTCACGAAAATTCAGAGGTGGTGGCCAACCTCAGAGATAGGGATGGGCAAAAGAATCCAGATTGTCCAAGATAAGACCAAGCAGGTGCAATTTCCCCGCTAAAAAAAGCAGCAAGATACAAAGCTTGGCTCTGTCACAAAGCCCTAATTCAGGAACTGATGCTGGAGATGAGTAAACCAAAACACCGTAACGCTAAAAAAAAGTTATTATAGATCTAGAGGTACCCAAATCCTAGAAGGAGAGAATTCCAAAACCGCAAGTAGAAAGTTGGGGGAAGGGGTTTGATTTTTCTACAAAAAACTATGTACCTAAAAGAAGTTAAATGAGATTTTTGAAAAAGTGATGTCTCTGGAGAAAAGAATGGGAAGAATATTTAGCTTAGAAAAGAAACTGATAAACATCATCCATTAGTTGTGTAATTATTGAAATCATTATAAATCATTGACTACATTATTAGACCGGAATCAAAAGATTTAAAAAAGAAAATAGAAAAAGATTTATGTCTGTTCTCAAAAAACAACTGACCTGGAAAACCTCTCAAAATGAGATTAGGAATCATTGGAATCCCTGCAAACCATAATTTTTTTTAAAAACCTAGACACTATGTTTCATGAAAACCATCCAAATTTATTAGAAGAACCAAAGGATAAACTGAAGGTAGAACCCAACCACCTCCTGAAAGGAATGCCAAAAGGAAAAGTCCCAGGAATGTGTGATAGCCAAAATCCATAACTCCCATATCAAAGAAAAAGTACTACGA